GAAATCTGATGAGGTTCAACGAAGGACAAGTGCAGAGTCCTGCACTTAGGACGGAAGAATCCCATGCACTGCTACAGACGCGGGACCGAGTGGCTAGGCAGCAGTTCTGCAGAAAAGGACCTGGGGGTTACAGTGGGGATGAGAAGCTGGATATGAGTCAACAGTGTGCCCTTGTTGCCAAGAAGGCTAAGGGCATTTTGGGCTTATGAGTAGGGGCATTACCAGCAGATTGAGAGACGTGATCATTCCCCTCTATTCGACATTGGTGAGGCCTTATCTGGAGTATTGTGTCCAGTTTTGGGCTCCACACTACAAGAAGGATGTGGAAAAATTGGAAAGAGTCCAGCGGAGGGCAACAAAAATGATTAGGGGGCTGGAGCACATGACTTAGGAGGAAAGGCTCAGGGAACTGGGATTGTTTAGTCTTCAGAAGAGAAGAATGAGGGGGGGATATGATAGCTGCTTTCAACTACCTGAAAGGGGGTTCCAAAGAGGATGGATCTAGACTGTTCTCAGGGGTGGCAGATGACAGAACAAGGAGCAATGGTCTCAAGTTGCAGTGGGGGAGGTTTAGGTTGGATATTAGGAAACACTATTTCACTAGGAGGGTGGTGAAGCACTGGAATGGGTTCCCTAAGAAGGTGGTAGAATCTCCATCCTTAGAGGTTTTTAAGGTCGGACTTGACAAAACCCTGGCTGGGATGATTTAGTTGGGGATTGGTCCTGCTTTGAGCAGGGGGTTGGACTAGATGACCTCCTGAGGTCCCTTCCAACCTTGATATTCTGTGATACACAGTACATGAAAAGATGGGAGTCGACTGACCCCCCCACTCGGTAACTGCCATCTTTTCATGTACTGTGTGTATATATATATATGCCTACTGTATTTTCTACTCCATGCATCTGATGAAGTGGGTTTTAGCCCACGAAAGGTTATACCCAAATAAATTGGTTAGTCTCTAAGGTGCCGCAAGTACTCCTTGTTGTTTTTTTTCAGAACCTCAGTTGATTTACTCTCGTCCTTGCAGGATCAGGACCCAAGTCATCTTAGTTAGTGATAAAGCTATGTGTTATAAAACCTCAGGGGTGCTGTTAGCAGCACAGTAACTACCACTTAAAACCTCTTGGCTCTCTTACTGTAGATTGCATCTCAACTCACCAATGCCCTCATGTGGAACAATGACCTAAATGACACAATACGATTATTATTTTTGTTGAAATATTTTCATAAATGCAAGGTAAATAGATACCTCTGTTCAAGGTGGTAATATGCATCAGTCATTGCCTACCTATCTCTTTGTAATTCCTGTTTTTAAAACTGAAGACACAGCTGTGCCATGAAAGATACAAATCTATAAAGACTGCAGCTACTCAGAGTTAGCTCTGTTGGATAGCATTGTATTATTTTTTCTGTTGTGCAGCTCTGTATCATACTGATTTATGCCTTTAGATTGTAATAGTTTAATTTTTAAGGTGCTGCGTACCCACAACTCTCATTGACTTCAAGTGAAGCGGGTTTAATGATTCTTTTAGGTTCCTCTCTCATGAAACCTGTTTTGTGATATGGCATTTTTTTATGTACATAATTTACAAGAATAGAAGGGAAAGGACACCAAGATATTACGAGGCTTATAAATTTAGATCCGATTTGAAAGACATGCCTTCTGATGAGGAAGTTGTGTGTTCTGTGGGGTTTCTGTATAAACTGGGGCCCTCCTCTTGTAAGCTGTTCCACGTGGGTGAATTCTACATGCCTGTGCAAAACCCCAATGAAAGTGCGGCGTTTGCCCACCCAGAACAACTTACAGGATTTGGGTGTGGCTGAGCATGTTGCGGAGTCTATAGGGGAAACTGCCTGCGCTTTGTGACGTCCACTACAGTGTTCTAGTGATGTCACTGGATGTAATTCATTTTCAAAATGTGCTTTTAGCATCTTGAGTCCCACGTGACAACCCAAAGACCTTCCATAAAGGCCAAATCCAGGAACTCATTGCCCAGCCCAGTCAGAAAGCCCTGCTTACATGGGCTCTGTGTTCTTCTGGGGGCACTTACCCCTGGGGTAACTCCTAAATCTAGCCCCCTCTCCTGATGCAGTGGCATCACACCAGCACCACTGCTAGGGGAATCTCCATGAAGGGGGCAGTTGGGTTTGCTCTTTAAACCAAAATGTAGATTTATTTTGGTTTTGATTTTACATTTAGAATTTTAGACCAAAAATCACAGTGTGCTAAATATGGGATCTTTTTGGGGTTCCAGGAGGACTGGTTGGCAACAAGGGATAGACAATTGGAATGCATTCGCAGAGGAAAGGACAAAGTAGGTAAAGTGTTTGTTTTCACTGCCTAGTTATTAAATAAGTTACCATATTGAATAGCATTTTAAAAACAATAAGCAAGTATATAGGAATCTGGTTTTGAAACTTCTATTCCTTTACAGTGACTACACTTCTGACACACCCCACACTGCATGCATTTGGTCTTGCATTTATTTTCAGACTGTTGTCTGTTTGGCACTACCCTCTATCTATATAGTGCTATGCATATTTAAGCCCTGATCCTGGAAAACACTTTTGCCTGTGGGCAGTAACACTGAAATCAATTGGGACTACTTACATGCTTAAAGGTAAGCATGTTCTTAAAGTGCTTTTCTGGGTCTGGGCTTTGCACAGCTATATACGTGATTAGTAATTTCTGTAAACATACTTTTAAGATCTGATATTGAAAATTGTTGAGTATTAAAATTTGTGTTACTCTTTAATTTATCTGTTGAGCTTGAGCCCAGTGTATTTGGACACATTTTCTGTGTTTTAAGGTCTTGCTTGCTTTTTGTGAAGGCAGCCGAAAGCCTTCATGCACTCGCCCCTAAGGTATGAACATTTACTATTATTTTTTTCTGTTTCAGGTAGATTGCCGAAACTACATCCTCCTCCTTCATAAGATAAATGACACTAACTTATATGTTTGTGGAACCAATGCATTTTACCCAGCTTGTGATTACATGGTAAGCATTTTATATACTTAAATACACCCTTTACTGCGTGTGCATATCAGTGTTTGAATAGTATGGTAGATCTTTAAGCACCTTTCCAAGTAATGTTCCTATGGAAAATTAGTATTAATTATTTTATTGTAATTATTTTTAATTTTAAAATTAATTATTTTTACTGTATGATTGGTCATAATGAAACAAATTTAGCAGCAGCATTAAGTGCTTGCATTATGACTTCTGAATTTTCCATCTTTTGCTAGCAAGTTTTATTTCTGGAAACAGTCATTGTCGTTTCTTATTTTGTTGCCTTATCTCTGTGCGTATATTTATGAATGCTTTTCATGCTTACTTACTGTATGTATATTTCACTATTCTTAGTTCTTTCCTTTGTTCATCTAGTCTTGTTTTGCTTTGAACAAATTTTGTTAAAAATAAAAGTTAAAACAGGATTACATTTCAGTTGAGTGCCAGGAACACCGTTGAGGCTATATAAATAATAATTAATAAATGCTGACAGTAGGTTGCAAATCAGATGAATGCTGTATTTTCACCCAATGCACCTATAAGAGCCTAGCTTTTTCTTTGAACTTACTTTCTCACATAGCAGGCGACTTATAAAGACTGAGGGCTTCGCTGTAGTGGCACTTGTACCAGATTTTAAATTTGCTCATCAGTATTTAGGGAATTTGCATTGTTACTCCCAATAGAAGAGCATGCATTCTAAAAAGAAATACATTTTCCAAACCAAAATGTATTTACTTGGTTTCTTACCCTCTACATAATCTCAGCAGATTTAAACTGTGACTCTCGGCAGGGTGTTTTGACAGTGGCCAATTAATTGAAAGAGGAGTTTTCATAGTCGTTAATTAAAAACAAAGAAGCCCAGTAAAAATAGACTGAATACATTTCTATTTGTACAGATACTCACATTTCCATATTCACTCCATGATTATTCTCTTTTAAAATAAATTGTTAATCATTTTATTTTATCAGATGTGAGTCTTACTTTCAGCCTGATAGAATGATTGTTTACAACAGGTCATCAACAGTACCGATATTCATCTGCAAGGGAAAGCTGAAGAAAGCAGAGGAAGATGTCCTTTTGAACCTACTCTGAAGTATGCTTCTCTGTTAGTTGGTATGTTTTGGGAATTCCGTGTAAGACTAAATCATTTTTCACTGCTAATCAGGTGTCAACTACTATAATTCTAATTTGATGTCTGTGCATGTTCATGAAGTGTTAACCTCTGATCTGTTGTTTAAAAGTTGGAAGAGAACACAGATGAAATTATTATATGAAAAACTAAATGGAGCAGTTTTTAGTGCATTGATATATGTATTTCCTTTTTGGCCTCTGCTGGCTCATTGATAGGGATTTTTTCAGAAAGATTAATTGCTAATGATTTTCTTAGTATGACTCTTGCAACCATATCTGATATCCTTGAATCTAACTGCTTACTCTTGAATTTCTTAGGTTTCAGATGTTTGAAGGTCGCACAGGCACTGTGAAATCTTTCAGATGTAATTACTAGAAAGCCACATGGAAAAGATTTTCTTTCTTGTGCAAAAACTACCCTTGAAACCTTATTCAATGTCCCTTAGCAACATTTGAGATTACCAGAGTGGTCGTCTGGGTCACTTCTCTGAGAGTCCACCTAGCAATTGTTGGCTTTCAAACATTCATTGTATGTTTTGTCCTTTGCCTATTAAACTATATTCTTATATTTATCCTTTGATCTTACTGGAACTTGAAATTCACGTTGCGTCCTCTCCATGTCAACTCATTTTGGACCTATGCACAAATACAGAGTGAAATCTATTTTTAAGAGACTGCTCAAGGGACTGGCATAAAGTTGCTTAAAAAGAGGTGACCTTCAAATAATGATAAAACAGATTTGTGCTTGGTAGGTTTTGGGGATACTTGGCTGTTTCTTAAGAAAACAAGCTGCCTAGCAGGATTGATGTCTGGTGTACATAGTTCACCATGATTCATTATAAATGGTGATGAGGATAAATATAGAGCTCACAGCAATGTTCTTCACATTTTCCTGTTAACTCTTCTTAAGGTCCACTCTAGGGGCCTATAGATACTCTGAACAATATCAATGTATAAAAGTTTCACATTCCGAGATCTTCAGTTACAAGCAACATGTAACTTCCAGCTAGTTGATCCTTGATTCATTTTAGACAAATGTCTGCAAAGCCAACAAAACAAAATACCTTTCTGCCCCAGTATCTTACAATCTTACGGACCTAACGCTGCCTGGTGCTGCGTGGACTCAACTCCTAATCAATTCTGTAGGAACTGAGGGTTCTCAACACCTTACAAGACCAGCAGCCTAGACTTTTCAGCAGGTAAAATCATAGCTATAGCTGCTCCTCCAGTTACTTTTGCTATAAATATTTGCATGTGATAAATACATATAACTTGTGACCATTCCTTTGCATTGTAAGAAAAAGTATTTTTTGCACTTTTATTTCTTTAAACTCTTCACAGATGGTGCATTTTATTCAGCCACTTCAAACAACTTCTTGGGCACTGAGCCTATTCTACTTCGCAGTTTGAGAAACCATCTAAGGACAGAGTTTAAAGCATCTTGGCTAAATGGTAAGATGTTTTTATACATGTTTTAGCCCCTGCAGGGCAAATAGTCCATCTTGCTTGACTTTTTTTAACACAAAATTAAGAACTGTACCCATTTTTCTTCCCAGTGTAGAGTTCTGAAAGTCTAATGTGGGGTACTCCCCCTTGCTATATATAAAGATTTAGATTACATGTCACTGTTTGTTTTTAAAGGCTGCTTCCATTTTTAAGATGCCTGAAGAAAAGTGACATAGTTTATGACTCCGGAAGCATGGGAGCCAAATGTTAGATCATAATTATTTTCAGTCTTTCTCGATACTGGTTTAAAATTCAGTTGAATTTTATTTTATTATGAAACTTTTTAATATGTTAACACCTTTAACATTTGTTGATTACTGAATAAGTATCACAATAAAGCAGAGGCTGGTTTAGGACCTCATCCCAATTCTGTCAGTATTGTAACTAACAACCCTCTTTGATAAGCACGGGCAGCAGTAGATTTAGCAAAACAGATTTTGTGTGTGTGTATTTCAAATAAAATGTATATCTTATACACAGGTACAAGTGCTTCACACTGTGAATAGTGTGCCAAGCAAAAACTGGTTGGTGCAGCTTTTTTCTAACCACCTTCCATGGCATGCTAGACTCCACTAATTAATATAGGATAGGCTAACAAAATGCAAATAGACAAGCATCAGTAATGTATTTCAATATTTCTCTAGTCCTGTTATTAATCTTGGATTAATCCATGGATCTTAAGGCATCTTTGTAGGAATTGCTACAGTTTATTATATCAACTTTTATACAGGTCCTAAACTCAAAGGCAAATAAACTGCTAAAAAAATCAGATGTTGACTTTGAATTTCCTAGTTTTTTCAGAATTAAGTCTGTCACTCCCATCTTTAACTTACTTCATCTTGCATATCTGTATTGCAAGGTCTGTAAACACAAAACCTATTCTAGGCATGCTCACTTTTGTGGAGTGTTGCTTTTTTATTTCTTTAGGCCCCATTATTATCCATAAAATTGTTCCTCTCTCCATACAAACCTTATTCTGCATAAAATTGGAAGGGAGATAGATGAGCATTAAACTCATCCATAAACCTTTACTTTAGGAAATGTAAAAGGTTCTCATTTAGCATTGGTGGTAATAAATTTCATCTCCTGCAAAAAGTTAATATAGGCATCAGTGTACCTCTGTCTGAAAGTAATATGCATTGATTTTGCTGTGTCCAGAAAAAGCAAGCTCCTAAATTGAGGACTAAAGATAAAAGTGAGCTTATAATTAAGGACTAAGGTGAAGAGGCAATTAGTAGTCCATTTTCACTTATGCAAACATATTTTTAACCCTTTGATAGATGATTTTTTTTTAAATTGTATACTAACTCATAAGCTCTTTCCAGCCCTTTCCTTGCCCACTGTTCTAAGAAAACATTATTTTACTACAGTTTAAAAAAAAAACTTTTGATATGTATGGTATTTCATTGCCTTAAGTTCTCTACATTAGAAAAAACTGTTGCATTATGTGTGTTTATATATTCCAGAGCCCAGCTTTGTCTATATGGATATAGTGCGGGAAAGTGAATCTAATCCAGATGGAGATGATGATAAAATTTATGTGTTCTTCACTGAAACAGCTGTTGAATTTGAATTCTATGACAAACTCCTGGTGTCAAGAATTGCTCGTGTCTGCAAAGTTAGTATTTGTAGTATAGTAATTTTGTTTAAAGTATGTAAGTAGTTTAGATAAAGCTTCATAGCAGAATGAGCAAACGTGGTTCCATCTGCATTGTCCATCTTACCAATTAAAATTCTGCTGCCCGGCTTCTATACTTGAACTCACTTCCTCCTCCTTCCAGACTCTTCAGAACCCCCTATGACATTCGAATCTCTTGGCTTTGAAAATTCTGATTCATATAGGAAGACTGAACAAGCCCTTGTGTGACAGTGCTACCAAGTCTGTTTATGTGAGTGAAATCAGCCTGCTTTATAAACTCTAAAGTGATGACACTTTCCCTTCATACAGGGTGATCTTGGTGGAAAACGCATATTGCAAAAAAGATGGACGTCATTTTTAAAATCCAGACTTATCTGTTCCGTTCCAGAATCAAATTTCCAGTTTAATATTGTTCAGGATGTCTTTTTACTTAAGAGAGCAGACTGGCGGGAAAGCATGTTTTATGGGATTTTTACTCAACAATGGTAAGACACAAGAAATGCATCTATTACTAACATTTTGAAATAGTTTTTCAAAGCAGAGGTTGGGTGTATCTGAATTGTTTTCAGATATTTTGTAAACCTAAATGTAAAACCTTTCTGGTACATGAATTGCTGTTGCATTAGTTTCAGCCCCTAAGCAAAGCTTTTCTATTGTGATTCGTTCTATAGGAAAGTTCTTCTTCGAGTGCTTGTCTATAAATATTCCACTCTTAGTGCTCATGCGCCCCCATGCACTCTAGGTCAGTGTCTTTTGGCCAGCAGTCTCTTCTTGCAGTTGTGCATGTGCTATGAGTGTCTTCATGCTCACATACTAGAGTACAAAGGTCAGAGATGGCCCAACCACCATTCAGTTCCTTCTCATTGCCCATCGCTAGGAGAGAGAGCTCCCCAGTGTCCATGTCTTGATGCATCGCTTTTTCCTAATCTTTACTTAATTGTCTATATAGTTGCCTGTTGGAAAACTTTGGGTAGTTTAAGGAGTTTTTATCTGCCTTATTGGCTGTTTCATTTCCTCATCTTCTTGGTACTGTGGCTTGGAGATGTCCCATTCTGAGTCATTCGATTTTAAGTATTGCCTCTCATGCAAGGCAGCAATTCCAACATAGAGGAAGCATCAAGATCTGATGCTTCTTTTGGTAGAGCTGTCCTGCAATCTTTGTCCAAGTAGACTTCAAGCACCTGCCTCCTTATATCAGGTCACTGTTTCGGAGTCACCAAGAGTGGAATATATATGGACAAACACTCAGAGACGATAGAAAAGTTACTTACCTTTACAGTAACTGGAGTTTTTAAAGATGTGGTGTCCCCATATATACTCCACAACCTGCCTTCCTTCCCCACTATTGGGGAATGCTATAACACCTGGATTCTGCTATGGCGATGGAAATGAATGGCAGTTGGGTCCGTTTCACTCTTTATGCCTTCCCCATGTATGGCTCCAACAGACACTTGTGGCCAAAAGGCTCCGATCTTGAGCACATGGGGCATGTGCACATCGAGAGTGGAATATACATGGACAACACATCTCAAAGAACTCCAGTTT